TATCAGTGGATCACCTACTGGTAACCATCATCCATTAAAATTACACATGAGACATCAAACAAAGATGGCCCTTCCCATAACGTACTTATAGATGCAGCACTTGTTGTTAGTTCTTAAATGGTCACTGAAACAAAGTTGTGTAAAAGCAGAGATCAATATGAAAAAAAGAGAAAAATTCAGGAACTCTTTGAACAGTGATGCATGTGGGCAAATCTGTAAAGGGAAACAATTCAAACATGTGCATTTTTCAATATATTGAAGATGTAGAAACTGAAAATAACAACACTGGATAGGAAGATTTTGGCCGGTTTGTGGAATTTCGGGAATGGGAGAAACCCCTCCTTTTTAAGTCACATGACTGCCATGACTACTGCACCTAAGGATCTCTTAGACTAGTCAATATCTTTTGGTCTGGAAAAGAAACACAACCAACTGGATTGGAAAACATACTTAGTGTGGCACCAGCTGCAGTTGATGTTCCCCCTTGAGGCTGGGTGCCATTGTCAGGAAAGGAAGATGGCCATTCTCCACCAACATCCGGTACATCTGTTGTCGGACACTCTGGGCAGGCATGACATTCTGGGCAGGGTGGGCAACTGGGCCGAGTGGGTGACTCACATGGTGGGCATGACAACTGTGGCACTACAAGACAACCCATGGTGTGATAAGAGAGAATGAAGCCATGTTTGCATTCTGACCATTGGAAACAACTGGCTCAATATGGTTTACCTTGTCTTCCACCGTGCTTAACCCCTTCGTGCCGGGAAGTGGCTATAGCCGCCGTGAAAATTGAGATCCTCAGCCCGCTTTCCAGCCATTATTCTTGGCCCACGCTCAAGCGGACACGGTGAAAGAAGGCATACCCTGGCTCTTGTATATATGGTAACTGGTCTTTGTGCGTAGCCCAGAAATGAAAAGACCAATTTTGCATCATAATCACCAGCTTCACAATAGTCCCCACTTTGAAAAGAGGCAACGGGAATGTGGAAGGGTGAGTAGAGCCGCATGCCACCGAACAATCAGCCTTTTCACCGTGTAATTCAAAGCGTGCAGAGCACGCAGAGCCACAAACCAAGAATTTGCGGTTTGGCAGGTGGCCTTCATGGCCAAGCAAGGCTGGAATTCTTGGAGTCGGCTTTCGGAAAGAAATTCCCGTTGAGAAGGGGTTAAAAAGTACCAACCAAGCTTTAAGATCTGGCTGTCAAGTTAAGAATTTTGGCAGCTGCATTTCAAAACTCGGGAGTATTTTCATCATGCTTAGAATTATTTTGATGAATAAGCTGCCTACGAACATCTCATTTTGGTCCCAAATAAAACCCTCTACTTCTCAAGGCCCAGTTATAGAACAGACGAATGTTAAAGTGAAGCAAATTTGACGTCGCAAAACATTTGCAGCAAAATTTCACTCCAGATGAAGTGTATTCAGATTTATTCAGATTTTGTGAATTTGCCACTGGTATGAAATATTTGATCTGACAAATTTGACTTTGGGTGCCTATCGTGCCAAATACCGTACTATTACCAGTACATGTACGAACTGGCAAATTACATGTAGGTGACCCGATACAAGTAAATACTAGACATGAACTAAACAACAATTAGGACCCGTAAGTGGGATCCCTGAGTGGGTCTTGAATTCTTCAGGCTTCATCATTCCTCCCTATTTCAACGCTTTTATCAGTCCAAACCAAGTTTATAATTCAGAGCTACCGTTGTTGTGACCTTGGACAAGAGTACTTTTATACCCCTATGTGCACCCCTCCACGTCCCTCTCCAGAGTACGTGGCTATCTGTCATGTGGGCAGGTGTTTATTGTATTTGGCAGTTTGCTCCTGCAATGGCATCACTGGGCTACATGTAATTTACTCTCATGGGAGCCCAGATGATCTCAGAAATGTTCAGGTAATGTCATCCCAATAAGCAGGGACAATGAGACATT